GTTTATTTGTACCATGGGAATTGATTTGCTACTCATGTGGAGCCCACACTCAAGGATCTGCAGAAAGCTGATATTATGTCCCAGTTAAGAAGAAGACTTATAATGACCATACCTGCTTTGAAAAGTGAACATAAACTTTTTTACAGTAGAGGATGAGTCTCATCCAATCTCATCCTGCAGGCAGCAGGATGCACAATCTAGAGGAAAAAAAAGGGTCTCTCCAGAAAAATGAGCTCTAGTGTCATTCTCTTGCTTAGGCCTCTCAAATGCTTAGCTAGGGTCAGAAAAAGGGGCCCTCAGTCCAGGGAGTTTGGTTGTTCCACCTTTTGACTCAAATCCTCTGTGATCCCTGCAGTGTCACAGGCATTAGTGCCAAGCTATGAACAACAGCACAGCAAGACCTCCAGCTGTATGTTAGATGTTCAGGGCTTCTTCTCAGTACCTGTATCAAATATGAAGTGTGAGTAATGGCCAACCAATCTAATGGTCAGAGAAGACCACAAATGTGTCAGACCACCCTTCAGTCAACAAACGACCATGTCAAATTGCTCTGAGGAGACAACTCAGCCTTGTTGTCTAATTATTTCTACCTTGAGTTCATTTGTACCTGGTGGACAATTAGGGAGGTAGGGCTTTGTCTGCACTGAAGTGGCCCCCACCATCTAATCCATCAGTCAGGTGACACAGAAGTGTGGTCACATCTCTGGCACCACTGGCTGTGAAACACCGAGTGTCAGAGAAGACTTCCTGAGGAGCATCACTCACACATCTGAATTTTTTATTCAGAGCAACAATGAAAACTTTCCTCAAGGATTTTTTAAGTGTAAATGCAACATAATGTAAGCTAATCCTGTAGCTCACAGCAAGGGAAAGCTTCTTTCTGCTTGACCTTGTAAAGGGTCACCTTTTGAGGGCCAAGAAAATCCTAAAAGCAAGGTATTACATTGAATGCAGGACCTAATAACCTCCTTCGAGGGCATGTCTCACTCCTCCCCTTTCTGATACTGCTGCAGCTCAGCACACTGATCTCCTTTCTGACACACCACTGTTCCTGCTGGGCAAACCAGGATGTCCCTTAAGAATATGATTTCAGCAGGGCTTCTGGACCCCATGTTGTCACACTGTGCATATATAACCTGGCAGCTGGGAGATTTAAAAAGTCCTGTTTGAGGGAGAAGAGAGGGTACATACGAATGAGGCAGTCAGAGGTGAAGGGAATAAAAATCACCACTGGCTACTGACAGGACTCTGTGCATGCTGCTAAAGTGCTAACCTCACACATTTTTTCAGCCTCTTACCCTTTGACTCATTGCCCATGGGGAAGTTAAGGCTGGGCTATTACTGGAAGCAATTGCATAACGGTGCCAGATGTTTTCTACTTCACTTCTCTAGCAGTGATAAGCTCCAGGTCCCACTGGCTCCCCTTGCTGTCCTTGCTGTCAAGGCAAGGTGTGTCCCCAGGGTCTGTGCCGAGGTAAAGCACATCTGGGAAGTCCTATGGGATGCACAGCTGGCTCTCTCTTCAGAGCCCATAGCTGCTTAGGAGAGGTCTTGTCCTGTTCCCAGGACAGGCTCTGTAGCAGGACACTGTGTTCAAAATATCCTGATAATGTTCAAAAGAGAAAAAATGTTCAAAAGGTTCCTGATAAATAGTGTGTTCTCCAGCTGTGTTACACTGCCATGGCTCACACACCTTCCCCTGATTGAAATGTCAGCTCTGCCCTGCCTAACAAATTGAAGCTGAGCAAAGCAGAGGTGCAGGGGAAAGGATTAAGCATGACAATATCTGATTTCCTTGCCTCGTATTGCTAGGACTTTCTTGTTTGGCTTTCCTGTAGCATCCTCTATGTCAAAAACCTGGAGAAATCTGGACACCAGCTGAGCTCCAGCTCTTCTCTGCACTGTGAAAAGGCTCATGTCATGGATACCAAACATCAGGCTTAGCTGTAGCACAGAGAGAGCCCGATGGCCTTGCATTACGTTGCCCAGCAAGTCAGGAAATGAGCTAAGCTCAAAGCCCTTCCCCTTGGCCACCTGGGCTCAGACAAAAGCCCTGGGAGACAGGGCTGAGGAGTGAGAGCCTCTGCTGAGACACCTGTGCAGCAGGTGGGTGTCACACCAGGTGGGGACAGCATGGGCTGTGCCACAGGGAGGTGGCTTTGGCACAGCCTTCTGCTGCCGTCCTCGAGCAGCCCTCCAGAGGGAGGCAGTGATCTGGAGTTCTACTGTTTTATAGCTAAGTGAACTTTAAGTCTAAATGGGAGAAATCTCTGAAATGCCTACACACTGTGAGTATGGGTTTTTTCCACACTGGCACTTGTTCTCTTGGCCCTGTGCTATGAAGTGTGGATGGTCTCTGGGGATGGATGTCTCAAGGCACCTGTGGGTTCCCGTTCTGTTGTTACATAGCCCTTGGGAGAAACATTTTTTTCCTTCTATGTGCTCATCGTTTCTCTGTATGAAGCTTGGCCCATTGCCCTTGTTTCTGCCACTGTGCACCTCTGAGGAAATCCTGGCTGCAACACTGTTCAACCTGACTTGAACATAACCTCAGGGCCAGCAGAAGAACCTTCATAAGATGCCTGTACCTGAGGAGAGAGGTAGCCCAGACAATAACTTAGAAGCCAAAGCTAAACAGAAAGTCAATATGCATTTAATACTTATTTTTTATATGGTAAATTTTTATCTGAAGAGTCATATGACTCAAAAAGAGCATAACTGATTGTCCTGACTGCTGTCCTGAGACACATTTGTAAATGTTTTGGCTTTTTCTATCTCCCTTCTTGGCAAAATTCTGAGGAGTACAAAAGTATAAATTAAAATAGCTTGTCATTCATTACTACATCAGGGATTATCTTCAATTCTCTGAAATATCCAAAAAATATCTGCTAACATGCAAGCAGTTTCCTGTTTATTCATTTTAAAATTATTAGATATCATTCACTAGTTACCTTAGAGGGATTTTATAATGGGATTTCAACAATTTATCCTACTCTGTATGTGCTGTGTACTGTAAGTATCAAACAGACACACTGTAGATTTCTCATGCCTTGTTTATAGCCTTTTTTGCAACATACTGTATAAATTTCTTCTGAGGCAAGACCAAGTTTACACATAATGTGGATGTTTGTTACAATATAGCTGAGAAAGACAGAAAACATTTCTGTACCTTGCACATGGCTTACCCTACAGATGGCCATCTCACATCACACAAAATATGGTCACAGGACCATTTATAAAATTCAGGTACCAATCTGGTTTGAAATTTAATCAACAAAGTGCATTAAAATGAAAATAATTCATTGATGGTTTTGCCATGCCTGAATTTACTCATTTGTTCATGACAGCAGAGAAATATGAGTTGTATTTGACAGCCCAGCTGTCCACGTCTGGGAAAGGCAGTTCATCTGCCATCAGGCCCTTCTCTCAGATTAAATTATTCAACAAGCAACTAAAGTGGATAATCTTTATTCATTCTGACATTTTCAGTTTCATTTGAAGTTTAGCTGATGAAGCCGTTTTGTGGTATTTGATTTCACTGTGTATCTTCCTGTTCCTCCTTGCTGCAACTTGTAAAATGTTCAGATTGTCTGAAGCTTTCTGATAGATGACCTTCCCTTCCCTGTGGTCTCTGAAGTATTTTGTTTCCTATGCAATGACAAGCCCCTTTTTATGTCTTTGGGTGTTGCTGTTATTCCTGTTGATTTATCTGAGTACTTTTTCCCATCATACTTTTTTGTCGTATGAAATAAATTGCTTTGGGTTTGTTTGCTTTAGATTCTCAGGCTGGGAAAACTAATATCATAATTTGGATTTCCTTTAAAATAACAATACCGATTGTTTTTTCTTCTGTAATATTTTTTCTGCCTTTAGCTGAACACCTAATACAATTTGTTAGCTGGAGCTGTTAATATAAGTCTTAGGTTTTCCAGTGGTTTTTTATTTTTTCACATGTCACCACACAAAGCTGATGTAGGGACTAAGGAGAGATATTCCTTTGCTAGAGCTGCTGGTTTCCAACAGGAGTTCTAAGGTAAAAGTGCATGGACCACCTTAGGCATGAAACCAGTGTCTTCAAGAAATGTTTCCATGGCTTTTTCTTTTCAAACATGCCTGTTCTTCAAAGCCAAAAGTTAAAGTTCACTTTATTGCTTGACTTTGGCATAGAGGGTTGAGCATTATGCTACAGCCCTTAAGGAGACTGAACAGGATTATATTAGAGGAACAAGTGTCTTTCTTGGGATTATTTACCTTTGGTGGCAGAGGTTCCAAAATTGCTTCAGACTTCTGGAACAGACAAGGATTCCCACATATACCACTGTTGTTATAGTACTGAGAGTATTTACACACAACCACAGATACCTTTTCTTCCTGCAATTGCAGACACTCTGTTTTTGGACAATTGGCAGGCACCTACAAAGCTAAAAAATAGATACTGAAAAGAAATCAGAGGAAACTATACCAGAATTGGGTTAAGGTGATTAAATTTACACAGCTCAATAGCTTGCTTTATTTTCAAGGGAAAATGTGTTTTCTATAGTGGTCATAAACTTGAAGGTGTAGGACACATCCAATTTCTGTGTCATCTTTGCCAGGCAAAGCAGTGAGGACTGTATGGCTCAGAAGAAACTTTGCAGAATGAGGCATGCTGAGACTGGAATTTATCAATATTTATGATGGTCTGTATTAACTTATTCATTTAATCTTTTGTGACAGTCATTCCAACCCAAAACAATATATTTTGAAGTTCTGAAGAAGACAAACTGTGAGGGAAATTTTGTGGAAATTTAAATCAGATTGCTGTGATTGGATGCTACCCTCAGGGAATATTACCATGTGCTGAACACAGTTCATATCCTCAACACTGCAGATTTACGATTCGTTAAGGAAAAGAGGGTATGAATCATTCAAAGTTTTCTAATATAAGCATTATCCAAATAAATACCCTTCCCCCACTTGCAGAGTCTCTGGCCAAATGCTGTCCTTCTGTTCCAGCTCCTCCTTGCTGCCTCTCCCTGTTTCCGGATGGGCCCTGGCCCCCAGCCCTTATCTCCTCCAGCCCCTGGGCTGTTTGCAGAGAGCAGCTATAAAGAGGCTGAGAGAGCAGAGAGTGGAGGAGAATTACAAGGTGCAGGAAAACAGCAGCACTGCTTGGCTCTCCACGAACCTGCTCTGCACCATGGGGAAGGACAAGCTGCCCAGCAAACCAAACATCTTCCTCCTTCTTCTCTTCTTCCTTCCGGGAAATACTCCACTCAACACAGAACCGTAAGCTACACATGCGGAGGGGGGAGGGAGGTCAAAGTGCTCCCTTTTCCCTTCGGTTTTCTTCCCACTAACAACCGAGCCCTGAGTTTCCTGCGGAGCTCTGACAGTGCTCCCCACTCCCATCCTGTTATCCCTGGCTGTCCAGCCCTGGGACCCCTTCCCAGCACAGTGGCCACCTTCCTTCACCCTAGCCCCAGTCTCTGCCCACAGTGCCCGCGGTCCTGCCCTGCAGCTGCCCGACATTCCCAGCCTGGATCCTCACAGCACCTTTGCCTACGTTTCTGCCTAGAAGCCTCTCAGGGCCTGGGATGTTGTGGGCATGATGCCAGAGTCCAGGTGCTTACCTTTCCCAGAGTATCCTTGTTTCAATCACTGAGTTACTTCTCCCTATCCTCCTGTTGCTTTCAAGCCAGTTTGCTCCCCTTTCTCCTGCCAGTTTGTTTCCCTTGGCAGCATCAGATGTACTTTTTCTCAGAGAGGATCTGTGACCCAGATTCTCTTCCTCCGGCATGGAGATTGGGCTGGTGCCAGCGCCCTCCCTGGACCTCCAGGACAGGGTTGTGCAGCCCAGCAGCATGGCTACAGCCTGAGCTCTGCCCCTGGCCCCGGGAGAGGGCCAGCCTGGCACAGCACGAGTCCAGCATGCCCACCCAGCCTTGCCCACCCAGCCTTGCCCACCCAGCCTTGCCCACCAGACAGTGCTGCTCTGAAGCCTCTAGGCTGGGTGGGACCTTGGCTGGGTTGGACCTTGCTGTACCATCAATCCCTGCCCTGTTTGGGTGCTTCTGGAGTAGATCAGCCAACCAAGTCTGCTTTGGGGTCAGGCAGAGGTCTCTAGTCCCCCTACAGTAATCTGATGTTACTAAATAGTGAAGATTAAGTAATCTTAATTCATCTTGCCCAACATCAGGGGGAAAGGGAATGAAACCGTACTGGGCTGGAAGGGACCTTAAAGATCACTCAGTTCCAAACCCTTTGCCATGGGCAGGAACACCTTTCTCGAAACCAGGTTGTTCAGAGCTCCATTCAATCTGGCTTTAAACACTTCAGGATGGGGTAGCCACAGCCTGTCTGGGCAATCTGTGCCAGTGCCTCACCACCCTCACAGGGAAGAAATTTTCTCCCAAATGTCTAATCCGAACCTACTCTCTTTCAGTTTAAATCCACTCCCCCTTGTCCTGTCCCTTGGCAATAGTCCCTCTCCATCTTTCTTGTAGGCTATTTTTTGTCCCTTACCTGAGCCCTGTTCTGGGAGGGAAGAACAAAGAAAGGTTGAGAGGTGGGAGAGAGAGGGGTGTTGTTGGGGTCCACAGAAGGAAGACAGGAGCCCAGTAGGGAGGCAGTTCTGAGCAGTGAACTTCTAGGTAGCATAAGTGGTTTTGTTGTGCTTGCAGGATAGATAAGATGCTGTATACAACACAGAAAGGAAGCAACCCTTAAATTGAAGACAAAAATTAAGCTTCCAACCAAGACTTGCTTGCTGTGCCCTATGCAAGTAGGGGTATCACTCCTTTGGGCAGAAATAGCTGCTGCTATTTCTGTTCCAGAGGTGGCCAGGTGGACAGGAGACACAATTAAGGCTCAGATTACATACTAGAAAAAAACATATTCATCAAGCTAGTGCAGCACCAGAACAGGTGACCCAGATAGATGGTAGAAACTCCATCTATGGTGTCCTTTGCAGAAGTCCTGTTCCAGGAGGGAAGGTGGACTTGAGACGCCCAGAAGTCTTTTGTAAGCAAAATTTCTATGATTATGGAGGAATACAGCCAAAAATATTGTTCTCCTACTCTGGTTGTGCATGTAAGCTGTTTTACAGTGAAGTGGACATGCTTGGGAGTACTCTGCATTTGGTCATAAGTGTGAGGTGATAATGACACTTGAATTGGCAGCTATGGGTTTGGGCTGATGAAAGTCACTGCCTTCTTTGGCCGGGTGCTTGTTCTAGCAAGTAGATGAGAGTCAATATACAGACACACATTATTCCACCCTAAGCTCCAGTTTTACCATCTTTATATAGGCAAACTCACCATTTAACTCTCAGCCACTGTCTCTAGGGTCTCCTATTCCTCCTTGATGCATGCCTCTGTCAGAGTCACTGCCACTCTTGTCAGAACAGCTCGTTGCATGCTGAGGTCTCTTTTGTCAGCCCAGATGCTTTTTGTCCTGGAATGTCTATACATGGATTTTGTGACCAAAGTTACTTAAAACGCTCATGATAATTTAATTCATCGGTCTCTTCTCAACAACACATCCCAAAACACCTAAAGAGAGGTCTCTAAACAGCATAGTTTACATCTTTGTTTCAAAGGCAGGGAAGCCAGCCTAAGGGGAAGTTCTGCAAGTTGGCCAAAATTTCAGCAGAACAGTGAACAGGAAGAGAAATGAGGCCAAATTCCCCACAAACTAGGTCATGCTGTCCTTTCTGTAGACTGGATGTTATTGTCACATTGCCAGTGCCACTGACAGGGCCAGGGGGAATGGCATTAGGAAAGGCAGCATGGGCTGAAGCCGTGGTAAGAAGGTTGTGGAAGAAAGGAAATGCTGGAGAAAGCAGGGAGTCACAAGTTGTAACTCGCTCTCTGGGAGGCTGGAGTTCCCTCCTTTCACAGCTTCTGAAGCAGCACTGGCTGAGCAGAGTTGGCAGCAGGCTCCTCACTGCATTTCATCACAGTGCTGCCTCATGGAGAAGGAAATGCAGGTACTGCCTGGATCCCACTGCCTCCTCAATAGCGTTAGGACTCCCCAGAAAGCTCAGAGCCCAGGCAAAAATGTAGCTCTGAACGGATGCATCTGTATTTGTCCTCTAGTCCTTTCTGAACACTTCCCAACAGTCTGTTTGTTAATTATTACTGATTGAGAATTTTCCAAGACTGACCAAGAGTGCTCAAGTCTGAGTGGTAGGAGCTCGATTATTATTTTCCCTTTATGAGTAGTTCATTTGCTATTTTGCTACTCAGTTCTATCATACAAAAAATCCTTTCCACAAATATGTTAGTTAACTTTTAGAATTTTCTTATCCTGCACAATTATGAGAAAATTGTACTTCCGAGATCATTTAGGTAGGTACAGAAGAGCAGGGGTCTTAACACAAACTCTGGAAGTTTTCACTGGTTCCTACCCCTTCTGTCCTTCTTTCAACCACTTAATCCAGGACAGAATTAATAATTTGATTTATTAGTAAAATGATCCCTTTTATTGAATGGCAGCTTAGTTTAAGGGTCCTTTGTGAGGGACCTTTGTCAAAAGCTCTTTGAAGATGCAAGTACACTTGAGTTGCAATAAAACACTACACTCTGAAATCCTTTGTGTGCCTGTCTTAATAAGGTCCAAACTGCAAGCACTCACATCTTTGCTCAGCATGTGAAGGATTTGGAAACCTGGATAGGCAAAGGCTGGAGCAGCCAGACAAGTGGGTGGGTTTTTTTCAACTGTTTTTAGCTAATGCCTTTGAGTCTTAAAAGGAGATTGTGGGATATACAAAATTCAATTAACAGCCTGAAACCTTTCAAACTGTCCTTACTCCCTGCTGTGAAGCCAAACAAAACATCCTTTGTAAAGCACTCTCTATTAGCATAGAAATTGTTCCTTCAACTGCAAGCATTTTCTTGCTTTTAGGCTAATTAGTAAGACCGTTTAATATGTATAAACCCAAAATAAAATGAATGCTCATGTTATATGCACTACAATTCGCAGGGATGGCAATGGATTAGGCATGCTGATTTGTTAATTTCTCTTCACTTAATACTGTTGCCTTAAAACTGTTGCATATTTCTCGTCTTTCTGGTTTCCCTCTCTTCACAGGCAGTACATGGTGCTGGTGCCCTTTCTGATACACACGGATTCTCAAGAGAAAATCTGCGTTCAGCTGACCTACCTGAACGAGTCTGTGACACTGAGTGCCACACTCGAGTACCTTGGGGAGAACAGGAGCTTGATTGAAGATGTGGTGTCAAAGAAAGACGTGTTCACCTGCATCCCTTTCTCTGTGAGTATCTCATCCTTGTGGGATGATCTCTTGTGTTTATTGATGTGGCATAGTAGATCCAAAGAGTCCAGAAATGAGAAGTAATACACACTGCAATCAGAGACCCCTAAGCTAAGTCAAACAAAATAATTAACTTAATGTGGATCACTGACTGTGGTAGTCTTACAAGGACTAATTTTCCCCCATTATCAATTTCTATGTTCCACATGATACTTCTCTGCATGCAAGTCTTAGAGATATCTTGGGTAACTCTGGCTGACAGAATGTGCCCCATGTTTGTTTGATGTGTGTAAGCCTGAGATGAAAAATATCAGCATGGAGTGAAAACTGTAGAAGGTGAGGAATTGTTAAAGACAGTGAGGTCCATGAAGTCATATGGGTCCTTCTGGAGCTTATTCACAATTTTTTATTGTGGAAGGCTGGCTGGTGAGTAATATAAACAACAGGTTCCATACCCTAATTAATGAATCTGGGTTAATTTTCTTTTTGATAAATCATGTGATGGAATAAGATCAGGTTCAATATTTCTCTAAGAAAAGTATATAAATGACAGAAGGCAATCATGTTATTTTCTTGCTCCCTTCACTGAGTCTTTTTTGTCCCTTTAGGGAACTTTCTGACCCAGCTAGCACTTCTTCCTTCAACACTCAATGCAATGGGGCGAATCAGTAAAGCAGTTATCCTCTTCATTCTCCTTAGCTTCCAAAATCCAATAGCACATCAGTGGCATTTCTCACTGTGACGGTGACAGGGGACACACTGCAGTTCAAGAGCCGCAAGTCAGTGCTGGTCAAGAATTCTGAAAGCTTGGTCTTCGTCCAGACAGACAAACCCATCTACAAGCCTGGACAGACAGGTACCAGGAATTGGGCTGGTGTTGACTCTGACAGCATAAAATCTTAAGGGCTCCATTATCCAGACGTGCCATACTTGTACTAAAGTTTTCAGATTTCTTCATGGGGGGATCTAAGGTACTCAGTAAATCTTAGTTCTGTCACCTGAGGACTAGCTCATGGCACTTTCATCATTCCTAGTCTTCATTCTCCAGGCACAGCATGTCAACCAGATGTAGGTACTGGCTCTGATCCATTCTACTCAAGTAGAGGCACAAAACTGGGATGACTGCAAAGCAGAGTCTCCCTTGGCTGCACCAGAATCAACAAAGCAGGACAGGCACTCCCAAGAGATAATTAAATTCAGCCAAGACCTGATTATCCTTCTAAATTTATCTGCCCCTCACTATATGCAAGAGAAAGCGCCTGGAGTAATTGTTTCTATTACTTAGACATCTCAATTCAGAGCCTGTTGATCTGTGGAATGAATCTGAGTTATAAATTATTGAAATATTTATATTTCCTGGTGATGGCTACAAATTTAACAGTGGAATTTTCTTTTTTTCTGTGACACTCTTCAGTTCAGTTTCGGGTCGTCTCTCTGGATAAAGACTTCTACCCGCTGAATGAGAAGGTAGAGCCTTAATTCCTTGTTGTTAGCCAGGAGACTTAATTCTTAATTGACACCGTTGTTGTCATCATCCAGAACCACTGAGGACAGCCTTTAAAGCATATGATACTCTCTCACACAATATTCTATCCTAGGACACACTCCACCTGTCTCTATTGGCTGAAAAAAACATCCCCCTTTTCAGAAGCATGTAGATGTTTAAAGCCAGATATGTAAATCTATGTATGTGGCTAAGCATGTGGTCAGGAATTTCATTACTGAAAAAAATGTGTGGGACAAGTTTCCACTGGTAGTGACAGGTGTGCAGTTGTTTCTGGCAGTGGGTGCAATCCCACCCATAGAGAGCAGCATGACAAGAACTTGGTTTTATGGAACTGGTCAGGGGTGCAAGCTCACCTTTTATTTTATTTGATAATCAGTTCCTCATGGAGACAAGTTCTTTGAAAACCCATGCTTCATCACATCTCCATACTGTGGTACGACAAAAGGTCAGGGCCCTAAAATATTGTAGAAAAGATTCCCTTAGCCATCAAGAACCAAGGAAATAGAGCAAGTACAGAAAGGAACAACCCAAATGACTTCTAAGAAGTTTGTTCTTCTGCCCTTCAGTCCAAATCTGGAAATTACTTCTGTGTGATTAATGTTTCTAACATTGATTTTCTTTTGCTCTTTCCCCACAGTTCCCCTTTGTCTACATTCAGGTGAGTGGAAAATAACATTATTATTTGCAGAAGAATGTGCAAGCACAGAGGTACCAGTCCCTAGCGGTGTTTTCAGGAGGAGGGTCAAGGGGAAAATCACGAGTGTGTGACCTTTTCCCTTTGGTTAAAGGAAGGCTGAGTAGTTGGGCATCAAAATAAGTTCCAACAATGGTTCTTTGGTCACAGAATGAGCTCTAGGAGAAAACTAATTAACCATTACAAGCCATGCTGTGAACAGAACTACACTTGGCTAGAGGTCATCAAAATGGCTTATTCCTCTTCCCACTCAGAACAGAGTTTCTGTCTGCCAAGTGTGGTTGAAATTAGAGACAAGTATTAAATAAGCTATCAAAACCAAAGAAACGAAATTAGGTAAGTAGATATCCCCTGTCTTTGCAAGCATGTTCTTTTTGTCTGTCTTTTTTTTTTAATGGGGAACTTCTGTGTCAGGCAAAAGTTAATAGGAAGGATGTTTCAATGATTCAAGCACTCACTTTTTCAGATGAGAACCCAAAATTTACAATTATTATTTGGGCTATCTTCTTTTGAAAAACTAATGATGAGGGCTCATGGAGAGACCCTGAAATTAGTGTGCACAAATTTTATTTAGGTTTACGTGGTTAATGAGTCCTGTGTAGTCAGTCCTTTTACTATTCCTTGCTGCATGGGGTTGCTGTATCCATTCTGCACCATCTCTGTCTAGAGCTGGAGAGTATTCACAACAGAGGAGACATAAGGTAGGACAAAACCAGGCTGTGCCCCTTTTTTGTATCTTCTTTTCAGAATTCTGTCATTCTCTCTTCCCATCAACAAACTTCCAAAAAGAGCTGTAGAGCTGGTGGGCCACTGACGATCTGTGAATATTGGAGAAAGAAGAGTAAGACAGTGGGAGGTGTGGATTAGCAGGCCGAGGGGAGCAGCTCAGAACCACCTTTGGCTAGGGCTGTCCCATGGGGGCCCTTCCCTTTCAATGAGATGATACTTAACTTAGTACAGAAATTTCATGGAAGGAGCAAGAACAAATATATCCTCTCCACTGCCTCCAGAAATATGTCTTTGCTTAACAAGCTGAATAATTTCATAATCTTTGTGTAATTTAAAAAAAAATAGAATACCTTTCTGAGGAAGAAAACAAACTGGCTCTCAGGCTTTCCCTGTAGATACATCACAGGAATGGCAACAAGTTCACAAGCCCAACCTGAAATGCAAATGTTTATGTAAACATTTTCTTTAATTCCTCCTCCGAGGAAGCCCAGTGGTGTCCCTCACAATGGGTGGTGAGCTTTTCATCAGGGCTGGAATGTGATGATGAAGAGGATGTGGTCAGAGCCATGAGATGCATTTTTCTGACTGTGCCACCCTCCCAGGTGGCTTCTTGGGAACACAGCCCCCTCTTCTGCCCCCTGACTGATGACCTCCAGCTGGGAGATGTCATTCACATCTCCATTTTCTCTAAGCCCTGAGATAATATCTCAGTGAAGTAAATGCACATAGTCACATACCTTGAGTCACACACCTATCTAGAGTAAATAAACTTCTGGCGACAGCCAAGGTACAATGTAAAGAGCAGGCAGAAAATGAAAGACTATAAACATTAACCATGCTGCTGAGGTGCCTGAAAAGGATGCATTATACTGTGCTGTTTCAGTGACTTCTACAAGAAATTTGGGGCTGAGGGGATTAATTCTTGATAGTCAGTTAATAATGAGCAATACACAAATGCAGTAGGGGTGAGACTTCAGCTCCAGCATTAGGAGCATGAAGACACAAGGGAGGGCTCTAAGCTGGATGCCTCTGTGTGGAAGTATACTCTCCTCTGCTCCTGTCACCACTAGCTTAGGACTCTTACACGTGCACATTTCTCAGTCCCATAGATAAGTCAAGTGTCTGATTCCTCAGCAGATTGTGTACTGGTACTTCAGCAGTCCTCATTCCAGGCAGGGGAAAACCAAAACTTTTCTATGCTGTATGGCCCTTCAAGGACGCTGAAATTTCCCTCTTTTCTCCATGTGCTCCACTTGCTTCTGATATCAGTTCTGTTCCCTTCTGTTACCCTGCCAGCCTGTCTTGCCTAGCTTCCTGGCCCCATGCTTTGCAAGTAGAGCTGAGGGGGAAACAACACCCCTGGGCGTGAAAAGTGTTTAAAAGCTTTCCTGCATGCAAGTTATGCAGAATTGACAGGTAAGTACTTTCAGAACCTCACAGATTTTTGAATAATTACAGATAGATATTTCCCAGCTGGAATATGCATACAGTGGACTCTGCACTGCTCTGTCCCTGGCACTCTCCTCTACTGTCTTGTGACACCCTTACTGTCCCCTGCAGGATCCCCAGAGGAACCGTGTGTACCAGTGGCAGGGAGTGGAACTAGAAACAGGCTTTACACAGCTCTCCTTCCCCCTCACCTCGGATCCCATCCAAGGCTCCTACAAAATAGTTGTGCAGAAGAGCTTCTCATCCCATGTGGAGCACTCCTTCAGTGTGGAGGAATTTGGTAAGGAGAGGAATTTGACAGTAATGCCTTTTACTGTGACGGCTTAATTTGGAATTTCCTGGGAACAACATGGAGAAGGGAGGGACTGAATATAACAGGCAATGGCGTTCATGGGGGCTGAACCAGAATGTGCTACGTTTCAGAAGTGGTTGCTGACTTTATCTCTGCAACCTTCCTGAGCTTGTATTTGCTCATAGTGCTCTTGGGAGCACAGGACATGCCAGAATTCCTGTGCATGGCTTGTGGCACCAATTTCAGCTGACTTTGTCTCAGTTGGTTCCAGTCCAGCAGCTTGTTGCAAGTAGCACTAGATATGGAGTAAGAGATGACAGTATTTGGTGACTCTATTTTGCTTCTCTCATCATCTGCATAAGGTCTCTTTCTCCATTTGTAGTCCTCTCTATTTCTGCTCTTCCTTGCTTCTGTCAAAGCTTAGAAACATGTTTGGTAGAAAATTAGTGATTGAAGAATAATCCATGAATGTTACAAACAGACTGCTAGGAGAGACTGAGTAAGGAGGAATATGGTGCTGCAGGGAGCCTTTTAACCCCCAGTTCTCTCACAAAACTTCTGGGGTGATCACAGATGTGTATTCTGACCATAGTGCACATTTGAAAAGGCTGATTGGCCAGTGCTTCACACTCTCAGGCTCTCCACTGACTCTACATGAAGACCAAATATTGATCAGGACCTGCTGTTTCTGGAATATGCAGACAATAGATTGCCATTCAAGTCCATGGGAGATGGCTTATTTGGCTTCAAGTCAGGCATGGTGAATAATTTGACCAGAAACAAGGTCACAGGCTTCGACCTGCCATGGTGATGGATGGCCTGGTCCTCCTCCCACAAATACCATTCTCAATGCTCCACAAAATCAAAGATATTATGTCCCTTTGTTAGCCTCCTACTGAACTGATTTTTCTTTCCTTTATTCTTTAGTCTTTTTCCTGTGAATCTCTCCTATTTCTATTTCTCTTACAGTCTTTAAAGGAAATGTGCCCTGAGGTTGAAATGCCTCCCATCTTAGAAGCAAATTTATGTATAAACTGTATAACCCAGGGTTATTTTCCATTCAATGGATGTGCATCCACTCTGCTGTTATTTCCTTGCACTGTGAATAAAACCTCAGCTGCACCACCTGGAAGCAGGACATTACATGCTTCAGTCCAGTCCTGGGCATGAGGAGTTGGTGGTGTAGGGCTGCAGGATGCAATATGGGAAGAGGGATGTAACTTAGTACTCAAGAGAGAAATATGTGTTTTACTTGTGCCCCTTTATATTGGACTTTTGTGCTGCCTCTTCCACTTGGAAATATAGATCTGAGAGTCTGTGGCTAGATTCACTTGAGCTCTCTGGGTATGCAGGATAATATTGCAAGGTGCATCTTAGTGAGCTTAGGAGCAACTCTGGATCTCCAGGACGGTAAGAATCAGCCAAGAGAATCAATGATTTGGGGCATTTCAATGTGGTAAATTACAAAGGTGGTGAATGTGCTGCTCCAAGTCCCACCTGCAAATTATGCATTGTGAACACAACACACAGGACCAGTGTGTCCTTCTGAATGGACACAGGTGAGGGATCTGCTCAGCTGCCTGTGCTGCAAATAAGGAAAGGTAAGGACTATAAACTTCATTATTTGCCTTTGAACCCAAACAGTGGGGAAGGCTGAGAAAACCTATGGAAGGGGTAGAAATCTGAGGACCACAGAGATGTTGAAGATGAAGATGATCGTGGCTCCATGCTTGGGTTGCTATGTAGTACACAGGTCTCATTCACTCTTCTCATAGCAGACTTTCTCTCTTCCATCTAGTGCTGCCCAGGTTTGAAGTCCTGGTGAAGGTCCCGAAGATGATCACTATTAAGGACAACGAGCTTCCAGTGTCTGTCTGTGGTCTGTGAGTCACAGAGCTCCAGTAAATCTCTCTTGCTTATCCTTCACTCTGCCTTTTTGCTGAGGACCAAAAGAAGTGCTCGGGGAGGGTTTTAAACTTTTCCCAGGCATATAGTGAACATTTACTTCATTCTGTCAGTCCTGAACCTGCTGCTTGGCCTGAACAGACTAAGTGAAGAATCTTCCCTGTGTTCTTTAAAAGATTATATCAAACAAATCTGCATCTTTCTCTTCCCAGTTTATTTCACATTTTCTCTTCCTGTCTTTATATTTTTTGAGTTAGAGCTTCTCTGCCAATACTGAACCCTCAAATACTCCAATATGTCAGATCAGACATCATTTAAATTGGTGATGCAAACCCAGTGTTGCCATTTTTAACTCATAAATCACTCCTCCTGAGTACCTGAGTACCTTTCCATTTCTTCGTTTGCAATACAGGAATGCTCCTGGCTGAAATAATTTTCTGAAGTCAATCTTTTTCTTCAGAGACATCCCACCTAGAACAGGATGAATGTATCTTCCATGGATGATGGAAGAATCTCACTATGAAAATGATGGAAATCATTAAAATGTCTGATTAATCAGTCTTTAAGAAGTTATTATGAAATCATCCACGGAAGTCTTTAAGGAGATGTGTCTGAGTGTGACTGTGACTGATTGTCTCCCTATCTGATACATTGTTTAACACATTGTTATTAGGTACACCTATGGGAAGCCTGTTCCTGGTTTGGTGAATGTCCAAGTATGCCGGAAATTTTCCCAGTCTGCTTCAAGCTGTTATGGAAAAGAAGCAGAGTCTGTGTGTGAAGAATTCACGAGGCGGGTGAGTCTCAAGATCAAAATGTAGTGTTTTTTCTGAAGGTTAGTGGGCAATGTTGTCTCAAGAGGGACCAAATATGTTGGGAGACAATAGGGCATCAGAGGTAGCATTCTCTCCAGAGAAAAGCAGAGAATCTCAGAGAAAGGCATTCTTAACAGAGGGATCATTAAAATGGAAACAGAACTGATTATGAAAACCTGACCTCATTGTAACTAGTGACAAATCTCCAGCTGCCAGCCATGAGGTCTTTGGTATTGTTCCACAAACTGAGGAAAGAATCTTTGAAGGAATTTTTTAACTGTGAAAGGGACTGAGTAAGCAAAGAGCAAAGATGAGGAGAAAACAAGAAGGCTGTATAGAGATTAAGGAGCAAAGATGAGATGGTATTGTATATGGGGTAAATAGAGGAGAAAGAGCAACAAGATAAAGAGAGAAGACAATGAAAGGAATAGGAACTAAAAACAGAACTAAGGCAGGAGGGAATTAACAAGGAAACCAGTATGGCCCTTGGAAAACTGTGTATCAGGTAACTCACAGAACACAAAAAATGTATGGATGAAACACTAGGAAATAGGCTGAACACAAGATCTGGTCTTGGACATAATCCTTGAAGAAATTCTGGAATTTCATGAACAGAAGTTAAGCATGTTGGGTTTGGGATATCTATTCTCATTCCTCAAGGCACAAACTTTATTGACAGAATTTCGATTTTCTCTCCAATCCCTCGCTTAGGCAGATGCTCGTGGGTGTGTTTCTAGTGTGGTGAGGACCAAGGGGTTCCAGCTCCTACGCAAGGGATATGAGATGAGCATTGAGGTACAAGGCAAAATCACAGAAGATGGCACAGGTATGTAGGACATGAAGAAGGCAAAGTGATGGCAGGCCATAAGAGGAGCAACTGGCAAACATGAGGAAGGTGGAGTAACATGACTAGAAATTCATTAATAATCCCTCTTTACTGTGCTCTGTCTTAGGAATAGAGATGACTGGAACAGGCTCCTGTGGTATCACATCCACCATGGGCAAAATCCGCTTTGACCTGTTGGACTATGCCTACAAACCAGGGATCCCACTCTTTGGGATGGTAGGGAACTTCTGAGAGCATGGGCAATGAATGGCACAGCAAACACACAAGTGCACAATCCCATCAGATGGAGTAGTGGGGTGTGCGGGTTTCATGGTTCAGGTGATACGTGGTGGAGGTCCCAAATGAAGCTGGCTGGGGGAGTTTAAACTACTGAGGAACTTAGGATCCTAATAGATAATTTCCATGGGCTGACTGGGTTGTTTTGCTGAGAATTTTCTCAGCTGTTCCCTCAGACAACTCAGGGCATGCCTTTCACCTTTCCACATTCTTTTCCTTTGTTCTTCTCTATCAAGAAATATCCTGCCTGGCAAGGAGGAAAAGAGGGAAGATGATGTATTACTTGGGAATTGCTTTTTGTTGCTAATCTAAAACCTGAAGTTTGTTATTGCTTTGTTAGGTGAAGCTGGTTGATGGCACTGATGCTCCACTTGCCAATGAAACCATCACAATTACAGTGGGTGGAAACAAATACAAAGAGAATTACACTACAGATGAGCAGGGACAATCCTGGTTTTCCATAGACACTACCAGCTTCACAGAACTCTCCCTGGAAATCCGAGTGAGTGGCAGTGACAGGGGTAAGCCTCTGTCTTTCTCTTCAACAGGGGAAATGTCTGTCCATGGGTTATCAGTCTTTTCTGCCAATTGGAAAGTAAGGCAAGTTTCTTGGTGGGTCATCTCACTTCTCCGTGCCTTCTCTGCATGTTATCCACAATCTCCTAAGAACGTGAAATACAGAACATACCCAGTTTTTCTGTGGACCTTTATGTGACTGTATACCTGATTTTGTTTGGCTATGAACCTTTTATTCTTCTTTCTCAGGCAGATCATAAACCTGAACTGAACTGTTATGACAGTGACTGGATGACACCATCCTATGAGCATGCCACACGCAGAGTAACTCGCTCTTACTCCCTCAGTAAGAGCTTCCTCAAGATTGAGCCAAAGCCTGAGACATTAAGTTGTGGCTCCTCAGCAGAGGTCCAGGTGCACTATATCTTCACGCCAGAGGCCATAGGAGAGCAGAAGAAAATTGTCATTTATTATTTGGTAAGACTTCTTTGGGGTTACTTTGATCTATGGTCACAGAAAATACTCTGTCACCTCTAGCTGTGTTCCATGATGGGCAACCAGAGCACTGCCAGATGGCCAGTAGTGATGGAGAGCATTTGAAATGGAAAGTGTGTCTTGCAACCATGCAATCGAAATACACTTCCCTAATGTTTCTCTTTTCTCTGTCTTCTGTGTGCAGAATTTTGGGAGACCACAGTAATTGGAACTGACTGTAACATTCTGGCATTAAGAACTATGAATTTGTTCATTTTGGGGATCAGAGAAGAGAGATTAATTGAGCTGTGACCAAACAATCACATGTCAGCCTCTCTTGGGAGAAAGGAAGAATCAAATGGATATCCAACTAGAATGTCTTTCTCCCTAAATTTGTTTTTCTGGGTATCCCATTTAATGACACTAGCAGAGAAGATGAGAGTAGCTTTGCAGAACAATAAAAATATCAGTAGAACAGACACTTCTGTTCTGGTGGACTGCACAGAACATCAGGGGACTTAGGCTGATATTCAAAAAAGAAAACAGAAACCTGTGCTAGAGATGTCTATGTGCTTATTTTCAAGACTGCTACTGATTAATGAAAGGACAAGATACCTGTTTATCCCAATTGCCTGGGAAAATTGATTTTAAGTATGTACATACAGAGGGTAAACAAACAGTGAGAGAACTTCCATTTTTATAGATGTGGAACCCACATCTTGTAATTCAAATATGGTGTTATGGAATAAATACTCCATATCAAAAGTAGCTGAATTAAAAGCATTTTTGACTGTGCAAAAGAAATATTTTTCTAGAAATGAGGGAATTACAGGAAGCATTTAGGCTATTGCTTGCTGCCTGACTTCAGGTACCTTGTTCAAGCTCTTATTCTTTGCAGCCTGTGGTCTTCTGTCTCAAGTCTGTGCAGCTATAAAACTAGTCCTGGTGAATTGTTTCTTCATACTGTTTCATGATGCAACTGAGAGAGGAATGAGGAGACTTTTTGACCTCCAGTCTGTTCCAAATTGTTAGAAAGACTGTGTAGATGACTCCCAAAGTTATGCATGGTTAGAGGCAAAATGCATTTCAACCTGATCTATTTATGTAAAATGTACCAAAGTAAAGATAAATGTGATCAACGTGGTCTTGCTAGAAGTAAATATTTCTGTCTCCAAAGACCCAGTAAATTCCAGCCTGGCTCTTGTTTAGCATCTTCTTGGTGTTGCTCACACTCTTACAATTAATCCAGTGAACATTCCTTCTCCTGCTCTCAACACTGGTAACAACAATTCCAGGAAGATTTCTCTGTTACACAGGTGATGGCCAAGGGACAAATCGTACTAGCTGACACCCATGATCTGACTGTGAATCCTGGAAATGGTGAGCAGATATATGCCTTTTTAGCATTTCTGATGGTAATTTAGAACAGGGGGGATGGAGATAAATTACTTCAATTCAAACACTGAATTTAACATTTCATTCAAACTTTGCACATAATGTTTGAATTTTCAAAATTAATTAATTTCAGCTTTGGTTAGTTTTATTTTCTCTGAGTTCCAATAGGTGCTATTTTTTTGAATGAGAAAATGTTAGAAAATTCAACCAAAAATAAGTATAATGCTTTGGCCATTTCCTAAAACCAGCACTTTCTGATGGTCGCTCTACCCTATTCTGATTGTAGATGCTTACCAGTGTTGTGAGACTTACATATACAACAAGCAGGGAGAGTGTGCCTCCATTTCTTTGTCTATCCCACTTTGCTTAATTTTTTTTTTTATTGTTCCCACCTTGTAAGCATGCAAACACATGCATATCTATATTCTAATCAACACATTTAGATTTATTCACATAAATGTCCAAGGATTACACATTTCAGTAACAGATACAGGCTGTAATGCAACTTTAAATGTCTTTTGAAAATTAGAAGAGGGAGATAATTTGTAAGTCTGTGAGAAGTTGCACTGCAGTGGATGTGAACAGATTATGGCAGTAAAAGATCTCGTGTGCTGTACAAAGTTCTGTATCCTCACTAGTAGCAGTGACTAAACTCCCACCTGGGCTGGTACCAAGGGATGTTCTGTCACCTTGTGTAGATTGTGACATAAAGCTCAGGCTCAGATAGAAAGAGTTTTCCAGCAAAGAGGGGCATTTTCTACTATGTTTGGAGCAATAGTTTGGTGCTCCAGATAAGTATTTGCTTAGCAGAAACCTTGTCAAGTTATTCTTTCAGCCACTCTTCAACCTTGACTGCTGTCACCCTTTGCAACAGGTCTGCTACTTTTTTTTTGCCTCGACTAATTTTTTGTAGATGTTGGCACTTGAGGGAAAGAAAGGTTTAGGACCATAAAGAAATTATGCCACATGTTAACTGGGGAAAATCTAGAAGGCAGGTTGAGGCCCTCCAAACTCATGTCTTTTGTCAATTTGCAGTCTTTGAATGCAGGTGTCTTCAGTAGCAACCATAAATTTTAGTCATGTGTCAGTTTTATGATAACTAAAAATGTTCAGCATGAGTGAACTTGACTTTTTTTTTATCTGGGGAAGGTAAATGCATATCCTGGAACCTCTTGCATATTGAATAGCCTTTTGTTCTCACTGTTAGCTTACGGGACATTTCGGTTGAGCTTCCCTGTCAAGGCAGCAATTGCTCCCATGGCACAGATGCTTGTGTACACCACCTCACCCAGTGGGGAAGTCATTGCCAGCTCAGAAGATTTCCAGGTTGAAATGTGCCTCCCCAATAAAGTGAGTATAAGTCATGGCTTATGCAACCCATGTTTGTCTTGAGGACAGCAGCTCAGTTTAGATTTCCAGAATGAAGGCAGAATTCACAATGGGTTCATGAAACATTCTGACCAGATGTTGACTGAGGACTGGTGACCAGAATAAGCTACAAAGCTATGAAAATAAAAAGTGGGGCAAGACAGAAACAAAAAGAGAATCTCTCATCCTTATTAATTATATTGACCCAAGATGAATATGCATTAGACACCAGCAGACCTCAGTTCACACTGCTCTAAGTGTCAGAATAATAACGTAACAGTGTCTGGAAAAGTGGTTGCTTAAACTTATTTTTGGATTTGCAGGTGAGATTGAGTTTTGCACCCAAGGAAGGTCTTCCTGCTTCAGACACACACGTGCAGCTCCACACCTCTCCAAGATCCCTGTGTGCCCTCCGTGCAGTGGACAAGAGTGTTCTCCTTATGAAGCCTGAAAATGAGCTTTCTCCCAGCTCTGTGAGTCTTGGCTGCTTTTGGTAATGAGCAAGGACAAAAATCAAGCAAGTACTCACGAACAACACTACAGACATGGGGCTATGTGTTTTTACATTTGCATTCCTTACACTTGCTTTTCAGAAGCTGACATTTACCAATGGAGTGTTAGGTTGTGTCTGTCCCCGTAAGTGTTGACCTGCTTCATTGTTCCCTGTTATTTGCACTTCCCCAGGTGTATAATCTTCTTCCACTGAAGGAAAGCCAGGGTTATAGCTTCAGGGACTACTACTTGGAAGAAGACAACGTAAATCCATGTGTATCACTTGACAATCTGTCATTAAATGGATTTCTCTACATACCCATCTCTTCTGATGGTGAAGGGGATGCCTATGACATTCTCAAAGTAAGTGCCAGCCCTTCATTTTTCTCTTTTGTTCCCTTTTTGAATTCAGTCTCCTCTCTTCTCACCTGCCCTTCAGGGCTTTTTTGTAAAAAAAAAAAATAAGCTCGTTTGCTGTAAACTTGGTCATGCTTGTATGCAAGAAAATAACCAGGCCTAGTTCCCACATCTACTTAGCCCATAAATAGTAACTGAGTGCTTCTCTAAACCATTAAAACTTTGAAAGGTCTCCTCATAGTAGAGACACCTGCAAATGGGCTTGGGTAAGGAAACAGTCCTGAGAAATTACCTCTAGTGCCGTAATAATAGAAACTCCTCATTCACTCATGCTTTCTTTCTCTGGTTTAAGTAGGTATTCATTAAAGTATCAGTTAATTTGATAGCCCACCAATCCATACATACCCATCCAAAATGTCCTGCACAAAGTTTTTTGGGTACCCTCACTCCAGCATACTTCACACATGCCATTTTCAACCAGGCAGCTGTCCCCAAGGTAAGCCTGTGGCCTTACCTTTCCATCTGATCATGCCAGGATTTAGCCTTAGTATGAGAATAACCTGACAGGGACTCCACATCTGTGTCAAACCTATCTGGAATGTACATACAAGTATTTGTTACTCTGATCAATACCAGACTTAGGTACATCCAATCTTGACATACTAAATAAAGTTTATTTTCAAACCTTTTTTTTTGCATATTTTTTTTGTTCTTCTTTCTCTTTGTTTACTAGGAATTGGGCTTAAAAGTCTTCACTAGCAGCAAGATCCATAAGCCTGAACTCTGCGAGCATTACCCAGAACACATGATGGAAAGGAGTTACAGTGGTTCTAGTACCTTCTTGGTTTTACCTCTCACAAAACCTCCTGAAATTTTCCACCCTGCTTCTTTCCTTCCCTCTTTGAATACTAATTACACAGGCAGATCTGATTGTGTTCAGATATGCTGACCTAATTCAGGATGCCTCCCTTCTGGACCTAGTCTTGAAATATGCAACTGATCCACCTCTGCCTGCATCTTCCTGGGAAGATGTGCCTGGCTAGAACTCTGTGCTTGGTGACTCCCATGCCAGCCCCCACATCAGGGGAGGGCTTGTAGGCACTAAAAGAGTCTTTCAGCACAAAGCAGTGGGGTTTTTGTTGCCATAAGATGAGTCCAGCTATTCCCCTACCTAAAAAAGGGGCATTTGCTTCTAGGCAGCCACATTCTTAAGCAATAGCTAGAGGAACAACTAGGGCTAAAGTGGGCCATGACAAATGAGAAGGTGGTACAATCCAGTGGGTCGATATTTTACCACTGGGGGCTGAGAAATTTGGTACTGTTCCCAGTTTTCCCAGTTACATGCCTAGAAGGGGCTAGGGACATGTCAGTTCTCTGCGGGTTCAGTGACTGTGAATATAGGAGAATGATAATGCTTTTGTTTGCTTGTCTCCTTAAAGAGATCTGAGATTAGAAAGGCTATATAAAAGACTCACCTTTATCACTCCCAGTTACTGACTTTTATGGTGCAGTACCCCAGCTCAAATTAAACAATTGTAGCTTCTAGCCTCCTACTCATAAGAGATCAGATCTTTGGTTTTGAAATGGAGGATTTGTCATCAGAATATGGCTCAAGACAGTCTGCTTTGAGAAGATGTAAAGTCTTCTAAGGCTGATGGAAAAGCCTTTCATAAGGCACAACAGTATGCAACACTGTGAGAAAGCATCTTCCTGTATATTTGCTAATGGCCAGAGATGTAAAGACCCATTTTTTAAGAATTCCTAGAAGGAGGGCTAAGTGTGGCTTCTGTTTCTGGTCATGTTTAAATGCAATCAGTTCTTCGACCAGATTATTAAACTGTGTGCCGTGGTAATATCTGGGGACAGTAAGTTTCACATTTGATTCTGTATTACTGTAGAAATAGATCCTCAATAACATCATCATGCATGTTTTTTTGGCATGAGGAGTTTGCTGGCAGTGGGGGAAAAATGCTCATCTCCATCCAATCTCTGTAAGAAGAGCAGCAACATTAAGAAAAATTAAATACTGAGATGGCAACAGAGAAATTAATGTTTCCAGTGGCCAAGATGTTAAAGCTGTTCTTTCAATTTTAAAATTTGACCTAAGAATAACAACTGCCTGGAGGGAAAGTATATTCCTGGTGTAGAATGGAGTTTGACACATCTTTTCCTTTCTTCCTGTCCTGGAATACATTTGATAGTCTCTACAATGAATCTGCATAAAGAATTGGCTTATGACATGGCAGAAGATATGGTTGATGACACTCCTATGGAGACTGTCCGGAAGTATTTCCCTGAGACATGGATCTGGGACATAGTTTCAGTGAAGTAAGTGTTTAAGGGAATGTAGAGTGTGGTCACTAGGCCAAAACCTTGGACTAGGTTAAAGCCTCAGTGGATGTATCAGTATTTCAGTGAGAGGAGTATTTCTAGTAGACAAAAGGATTTTTTTAAGGACATTAAGAATATGCTTCAGAGGAACATGCAAAAGCCAATGCCTATATCCCAGCTGGCCAGGGGTTTGCTGTCAGCAGATGTTGCTCAGTAGGCTGAGAAGAGAATAGAGGAACACCAGAATATAACAGAAATCTTGTTCTCTGTCCCTCACCAGCTCTGAGGGAAAA